AATGAAGCATGGAAGACTCTCTCATTGCTATTCTCTGAAATTAAAGGCTCTGCAGGTCAGCCCCTGAGGATTACCCAGCCTCCAACCTTGGATGTTAATTTTACCTCGTGCCCCTCATGGCAGGGGGAAAAATTAACGTCTTTCAGAGACCTAAAAGAATGCAATGAAATCAAGCCTTTCCAAGAGCTTGTCAGTCAATTTGCCCTTGTTCATTCCTGAGCAGATGTATGGTGGTATTGCAGTGGACTACTATTAGGTACTCTGCCAAGTAACTGGAGTAGCATTTGTGCTCTGGTTCAATTGGTCATCCCTTTCAACCTGGCATTACATCAGTAAAACAGGAAAGAGAATCAGATAAAAAGAAGTGATCCTCATGAGTCTTTTGGCCCTCATATTTACATAGATGCTATTGGGGGTCCCACAAGAGGTACCAGATGAATTTAAAGCTTGATATCAAATGGCAACAGGATTCAAATCTGTACTGTTTTGGTGGTCAACTATAAACAAAAATGTAGATTGGATAAAGTACATCTACTATAATCAACAGCGATTTGTCAGTTCCACCAGAGATGCTATTAATAGGATAGCTGAACAATTAGGCCCCACTAGTCAAATGGCCTGGGAAAATAGAATAGCCCTGGACATGATGTTAGCAGAAAAAGCTGGAGTCTGTGTCATGATTGGATTCCAATGCTGTATTTGTATCCCTAACAACACAGTCCCTGATGGAACAATTACGAAGGCCTTACAAGGCCTTACCTCCTTATCAAATGAGTTAGCCAAGAATTCCAGAATAAATGACCCCTTCACGAGTCTCATGGAAAGGTGATTTGGTAAATGGAAGGAGCTTATGTCTTCAATATTAACCTCTCTTGAAATTGTCATATGTGTACTCATTTTTGCAGGAAGCTGCATCATACCCTGTATCCAGGGGTTAACGTCAAGCCTTAGAGAAACAGCCCTCACAAAACCCTCCCCTACCCTACTCCATACTCAGATAAGTTCTTATTCTTAAATAATCACAAGCAACAAAGCCAAATCATGCTACAAAATTTGAAGAGGAAGAATTATCAAAAAACAAGGGGAAGATTGTTAGGGAATAATAAATTCCTCTTCAAAGGTTTTTGTGTAATGCTCTTATCCTTGGCTCAAAAGCCCAACCTTGCTATACTCTCGTTTCCAGCCTGCAAACCACCCTCCCGCTCTAGTCACGCCCTAACAAGCCCAGATATGTCCAGTCATCCTTTGTACTATAATGGACAGTCCACTCTCCTTCTCTTACAAATTGTATGCTAACCATGTTTAGAAAAGTTTAAGCCTTAGCCAACCAGGATCAGCTTAGGTCGTGGTCCAACCCTAGCCAATAGCGGAAAGACACAGGGAAAGGAACTGCATTAGGGATAAAAACCCCTTCTCTCCTTTGCTCAGGGTGCTCTTGCAATGGTGACTGATGTAGGCAGTACCCTTCAGCAGAAGTAAATTGCCTTGTTGAGAAAACTTTTTGCCTCGGCTCTAGCTCTTCTTTGTGGCACCAAGCATTTAGTTCATGGTGACTCTGGCTAAGGAGTACACTCCTAAGTCTTGGTATTATCCTCTTGATAGTCTTAATAGTAGTCTCCTACATGAACTATATTCTTTTAAAAAAGTTTTAAATGTTTACACACAATCATCCATAAAATGTTCATAAAATTTAAATAAATAAAAATTCCAACATAATAAAAAAAAGTCTCCTCTACTCTCTTACCAGAAAGTAACCTAAAGTCCTGTTCCCACCTTACAAAACCCACTGTTGTACTATTTCCCAGTGGCATTTAAGACCAATAAGTACATTTACAATGGTCAGAAAGTAATGTCAATGTCTACAATTTTGGTCAACCTCTCTATTTTGGTCAAATTGAGAGATTGACCAAAAGGGGAGAAATTGTTAAATTGAGTTTAGCCTAAAGTTGCCTCCTTATAAGTTCAGCCTAAAGGTTTCTCTGTACATAGTAACTTGTAACCTAACTGGATGTATAAATGGACTATAACCTATTGTAGTAATCACTGAATTTTGGCCAATCACAGGAGGCCAACTGTTCAAATAAAACAATCAGTCAAGCTGTTTCTGTATCTCACTTCTGTTTTCTGTACATCACTGTCCTTTTTCTGTCCATAAATCCTCTTCCACCATGCAACAGTGTTGGAGTCTCTCTCTCTCTCTCTCCTTTTTTTCTAGACAGTGTCTTGCTTTGTTGCCCAGGCTGCAGTGCAGTGATGCAATCTCAGCTCACTGCAGACTCCAGCTCCTGGGTTCAAGCAATTCTCCTTTCTCAGTCTCCCCAGTACTGGGATTACAGGCTCCTGCCACCACACCCAGCTAATTTTTGTATTTTTAGTAGAGACAGGGTTTCGCCATGTTGACCAGGCTGGTCTCCAACTCCTGACCTCAGGTGATCTACCTGCCTTGGCCTCCCAAAGTGCTGGGCTTACAGGCGTGCACCACCACACCTGGCCTTGTGTTGGAGTCTCTCTGAATGTATTCTGGTTCAGGGTGGCCACCTGATTCACAAATCTTTTTTTTTTTCATTAAACTCTTATATTTAATTTGTTTAAGGTTTTCTTTTAACACTATCCTTCCTTTATATTTTGGTCTCTTTATGACATTACTATTTAGTGCTGCTTGATACTTCTATTTTTTTTCCAGACAGGGTTTCATCTGTCACCCAGACTAGAGCCATCATGGCTCACTGCAAGCCTTGATGTTCTGGGCTCGTGATCCTCCCACCTCAGCCTCTGGTGTAGCTGGAACCACAGGTGAAGGCCACCATACCTGGGTAATTTTTAAGAGTTTTCTTTGTTGTTTGTAGAGGGGTCTTGCTATGTTGCCCACTCTGGTCTCAAACTCCTAGACTCAAGAGATCCTCCCACCTTGGTCTCCCAAAGTGTTGGGATTACAGTTGTAAGCAACCATGACCAGCCAACACTTTTATTTCTATCCTCCAGAACTCTAATTTTTGTTGTTGTTGTTTTTTTTCGTTGTTGTTTTTCTAAGGACAAGGTCTCATCTTGTCATCCAGGCTGAGGTGCAGTGGCACAATCATAGCTCACTGCAGCCTCAAACTCCTGGGTTCAAGTGATCCTCCTGCCTCAGCCTCTCTTGAGTAGCTTGGACTACAGATGCATGACATCATGCTCAACTAATTTTTTTTTGTTGTTGTAGAAACAGGACCTTGCCATGTTGCCCAGGCTTGTCTCCCAACTGCTGGCCTTAATCCATCCTCCCGCCTTGGCCTCCCAAAGTGCTGGGATCATAGGCCTGAGACACTGCCCAGCCTAAGTCTCTATTTCTAAATGTTTGACCCAGTACTTCCATAGGGCACAGCCTGACTGAAAAACTGATGGTAGCTTGTACTATCACACTCTTTCTAAAAATCAGAGAATTATCTTCCCCCAATTCAATTTCTCCAAATTTTCCAACAACAAATAGTAGGCCTGGCTAATCTGGTTATAAACTGGGTTACCGAAGTGAGGTGAGATCATGGAATAAAAACATATTTGAGATCCCAATGAGGCCAATGTTTCCATTAACAATCTGACTGATTGTGCAGATTTATTTGTAATAGTGGAATGGAGCTTCCTGAACTGCTGGCCAATCTAATGTTGAGTCAAAAAGCACTGGTTTAGCTACTTACTGTGTGACCTTGAACCGCGTAATCTTTACACATTTGCACCTAAACTACCTCATCTCTAAGTGTTCTTTTGTATCTACTTTGGTAGCTGTATAAAATGAAATGTTAGCGAAAATGTTGTGCAAAGAGAAAAACATTCTGCAAGTAATTATTATTATTTTTGGAGACAGAGTCTTGCTCTTCCTCCTCCCAGGTTCAAGCGATTCTCCCGCCTCAGCCTCTCTGGTAGCTGGGATTACGTGGCTGCGCCACCACGCCCAGGTGATTTCTGTATTGTTAGCAGAGACGAAGTTTCACAATGTTGGCCAGGCTCGAATCCTGACCTCAACTAATTCACCAGCCTCGGCCTCCCAAAGTGCTGGGATTACAGGCGTGAGCCTGCAAGTTAATATTTACATCGCACAGGCGTCTAAGACTTTCTTCTGGCTCAGTGCCATTGTTTTATTAGGCTTTTTAATCTAGTATTTTTGCACTTAAACTGGCGAGTTGGGGCGGGGCGTTCAGCATGTGGGTCTTATTCTGAGGCCGTAAATTCGATGCAGGGCGAAGCCCGGGTCTTGACGTTCTCTTCAGCAGGGATTCCGCCCGTCAAGCGTCAGTAGCCGCACCTAAGGAAATCTGATCCGCACACTGGCTGTACGTCAGCTTCTGCCCCCTGCCTTCTAGTTCATCTCTTTCGGTAAAAGGATTTGTCTTTTGGTCCCAATGGCGCGTGCCCATAGGTCGCTAAGACCCTTCCGGCCTTCCGAGCAGCATAGCTGATACTGTGGCGCGTCCTCATGGTACGGAGCCCAAGGTCAGGAGGTTGCCTGCGGTTACAATGACCAACAGCTAGTTTAATTCAGGATAGCCCAACTGCTCTCGGCAATCTAACCGATGGGGGAAGCCTTTCCAGAGCTCTTTCTCGGGAGCGTGGATCGGCTTAGTCTCACGCCAATCGAGCTTTTCTGCAAAATTGGCTTTTCCCACACCACATGGGTGCGAACCGCTCTCTCCCTCGGTAGAGAGGGCAAAAAACCGAGACTACCGGGAAATACCACAGAGGAGCAAATCACCTCCGGAAGTGGCGTTTGGAGCCGCTTCCTACAGTGCAGTCCAATGAACTCTTTCTTTTGGCAGCAAATTCCGTCTTCGAGCCCGCCCAAGGGAAAGAACACTTTGATTGGTTGCTTAGTCGGGCGACACAGAGACTCACGGGAGCTTCTTCCAAGCGCTTGCAGGTATTGCTCAGTTGGCCTGTCAATCATCTCGCTCGCTGGAAGGGGCGGGAACTGGCGGCGCTTTTGGCACCTCCTCTTCCTGGGCTGCTGTGCTGGGAGGCAGCGAGGCCGCCCCGGCTGGGAACTGCCGCGTGGGCGGGGCCGGATTGCACTGTCCAGGCAGTTCCTGGGCCGCGAGGCGCGGGGAGTGGCCCTAAGCGCGGGGCTGTGCGGGGAGGGCCGGGGCGTGAGGCGAACGCGGGGGCGGGGGCGGAGCCGGGGCGGGGTCGGGGGAGGCGGAAGCGGCGCGCGAGCCTAAGTCGGAGCCGCCTGGAACCTAGTGTCCGGGCCGGCGGAGCGGCGTCGGCGGGGTTGGCAGTAGCGGCGTGGCGCTAGAGCCTGGGCGGGCCAGGGGCGGGGAGTCAAGGCTGGGGAGCGGGTGACGGGCGGGCGGAGGGCTTGCTCCCGTGTGGTCCTCGGAGCGCCCCGAGGTCCGGTCTCCGCACAGTCCCGGAGGAGGATGCGACCGGGGGGTCCCGGGTGGGGCGGGCGGCAGCGGCTGCAGCGCTAGCGGCGCGGGGACTGGGCGGCGGCGGCGGCATGTGGCGCGGGGCCGGTGTCCGCGGGAGGGAGGCGCTGCCGGCGGCCTGGCCGCTCCCGCTGCAGTTGCTCACTGGGCTCGCCGTGCCCTGCCAGTGGGACCCCCGCAGCTCCGGTCCCGGCCGCCGCTGGTGACCACTCGCCGCCCCCCCCCTCCCCCGGAGGCTTCACCCGCGCCCTCCCTCAGGACGCGCCAGCGGGGCTCCGGCCCCTTCGCCCCGGACTCGGAGGCCGCGCTGTGCGGGGCGACGGCGAGGCCGGAAGATGGCCTGGGTGCTCAAGATGGACGAGGTGATCGAGTCCGGGCTGGTGCACGACTTCGACGCCAGCCTCTCGGGCATCGGGCAGGAGTTGGGCGCCGGCGCCTACAGCATGAGGTACTGGGCGCCTCGGGCGGGGAGAAGCGTCTGTCTCCTTGGGGAAGGCCTGCGCAGCCCTGAATCTCTGTCAGATGCGGCTGCTCCCAGTGGTCCGCGGGCCTCTGGGGCTGCGGGGTCGGAGTTCTGCCGCGTGGCGGTCGGGGGCCATGGAACCCCAAAGGCCTCTGCTCACCCTGGTGACGGGCGGGCAGGGAAGGTGGCCCTCCAAGCTTCGGCCGCGGACCGCTCCTGAGGGCGTAATATTTGCTGTAAAACACACCCAGCTGTTAGGATGGCTTGGGTTGGTGGGGGAAGGGGTTTCCTTTCCTTACAAGCGATTAACAAGCCCCATTAGAGCTAGAATACACTGTGCAGAAAAGGCAGCACTTACATTGGGAAAATAACGTCCAGCGTTTTGGCATCAGTTCCTACTCTGTTGTCCTACATTGTAGTCTCTTCTGGCTGCAGATTTTAATCACTTGATGTTAGCAAATTATCGTAATTGAAAGAATAGCAGCGGCGGGAGTAGCACAGTGACTTCGTTTTGTTTTTTTTGATTGTCTCAAAATGAAGTTTCTCATTTTGGAGACTGCCTGAGCTCAGGCTGTTTGCTCTTGAGGGTTTGAAGATGCAGTGATTGCACCACAAGCAACTGTTTAGTCTTTCCTGTCTGTGCCAGCAACCATTCATTTTAATATTGAGAGGTTGAAACAGATCTGAGCTTAGTCTCTGCCCTTTATCCTTTTTAACTGTTAGGAATTTGGAAGTTCTGTATTTGTTTTAGTGGCTTTATTGAAATATAGTTTACCAGAGCGCTGACTTGATTATAATAAAGTCTAAAGATCGGTGGTTTGGCAGCTTTTCATTAACGTGGATTAAGTGTAGCTTTCTGTTCTTTAGAAAATGCCCGATGTCTTCAAAGTGCTCTACAGTCTCCCGGTAGCATTCATACGTCTTACTGCAGCTTTCGAGGAGGACTTCTGGGTCAAAGCTGGCCTGGAATGGTGGGGGCTGCTCCTTGAAATAATTGGGTCTTTAAATCTTGAAGAGAAGTTATGAGCCCTAAAGAACTCTCAGAAAGGTAGACGTTTATTGGAGTGTGGAAGCGAGTGGTGGAAAGCGTATTTACACTCGGAGTTCCCCAGCGCCTGGCTCTAATTTGGTCTCTGCTGGGCTCCCTGAACTTGGCACCTCCTCACTCTGCAGTTGTATAACTTGAGGCCTCTAGATGAGGCGGCTTATTTTCTAAAACAGCTGTCTCAGTTGTTGAGGAAATTGAGCTACTGAAAGTCATGGAGTTACCCCAGAGGGGGGTATTAGAGGCTGTACTTCTCTATGAAAACGCACTCCTCTAGTGCCATGCTGCTCTTTAGCTCCACTGGAAACACGAGGCTTACAGTCAAGGCAAAAGACGCACGTGAAGCAAGTTCAGCTCCTCAGTTGCTTCTCTTTCATGGTAAATGAAAGTTTGCTGTTGCAAAGTTTATTTATTGATAGCTGTTTTGAGCTTTTGCTTTTTCTACTGTTTTATTTGATCTGTACTTTGATTTAGTGATTCAGCCAACTTAATGTAATAACGTCTGTATATAGTTTATTTCCGTGGAAAGGAAATACAGTCTTGATGACCATATATTTTTAAAGTAATGCGTGAGATCTTTGTAATTATGTGTAACCTGCAACACTCTTCACAGGGATAATTTTCCCTTGAATGCTTTTGGTTGTGTCATTTAATCTAAATTTTCCAAGAAATTTGAAGGTTATTTCCATTTTCAACGAGCTTATTTTTTTCATATTTGAGTCCTCAAAAACTAAGAGATGAAGAGTGCTTGTCTCTTGGAAATTCAAGGCTCTTTGTTTGAAATTCTCAAACTAAGGAAATTCCAAAATTGATTTGATGTGGAGAAAGTCTGAAGAAGGCCTTGGCTACTGCAGGCCTCCCTGGACTGCAGTTGTACTTTCCATGCCTGGCCTTGGAGCCCTGAGGGTTGGGGTACCCAGGAATGGCTCACCCATTCTCCAGCATGAGCATTCACTCACTTCCTCTGTCATCTAGTGGGAAGGAAAGCTTAATCTTTCAAAGTTCAGGAAGTAAACTTAATTACTGGGAAAATGACTTCTTGATACAAATTGATTTTGTAGGCAGCTTTCCATTTTTCTTTCAAAATGAAACATGCTTACTGTATTTCCTTTTTGGATGGCTTAAAACAAGAGGTATTTCTTAAGACTTCTCTTAGGGAACGGTTTCCTCAACTTCTGGGAGGATAGTTTGAAAGGAAGAAATGGCTTCTCTTAATGGTCTGACTTAAAAATGGCCAGGTGTGATCTTTGGTATGCTTGTAGACCTAGCTACTTGGGAAACTGCTTGAGCCCAGAGGTTCAGGGCAGTAGTGTGTGCTATGATTGCATCTGTTCATAGCCAGTGCACTCCAGCCTGGGCAAGAATGAAACCCCCTTTAGTTCCCCTGCCCTTTCTCCTTTAAAAAAAAAAAAAGTAGGAAAAATATGTTTGTGTAAAATAATGTAGGCTGATAATATTGGGAATATTTTGGAGCTAATTACATTACCTTTGCTTCTCTTTTTTCTTTTGGCTCTGGTTCTCATTTTATGAGTTCTCTGTATACTGTTGTATTATACTTTTTGTTGTTTTTGTTTAGTTTTTTTTTTTTTTTTATTGGATGTGAGATGTGAAATGCAGCAGATTCTATTTGAAATGAGGCAGGTCATAAATGTTTTTAAAAATCTTGGTTACAGTAACAATTTTAGAGATAGAGACCTTAGAAACCTTTTAGAGTCTAGACCACTCCATTTCTTATACTGTAAATGCATTATCTGAGGGTCATAGATGTTAAAGTGATTGGCTTGAACAGATGAAGGCTGATTTTTTTCTCCCCACACAGAGTGAAGACTGAAACCCATGGTAACTTGAAATCTGGGTCATTCTTGTTTTGCGAAGTGTGGAGTAGATAACCAAATGACTTTTTAAAATAATACACATTAAAACTCAAAAAGGGTCTTTTGGACCACCTGGTAATTTTCATCTCACTGTATGAAATTTATCATCTGTAGCCAAGTTAATTTTCAGGATTTGGGGGGTCAATATTGAACTGTTTTTGAAGGTAATAGGAAATAATGGCTTCTTTAGCTTACTCTTATACAAATTTTGATGTTAAATTATTACTTTACAAAAGGTATTGTCTGAGCCCTGTTTGTTAAACTTCACTATGGTATAAATCTCTTGAACCAAAAGATACACGTTATATATATTGAAATGGGAGGTACATCCGTAGTTTACAAATAATTTGCTAAATCAAAACTTTTGAGCTGATGACAGTTCCTATATTGATTGAAAGGTAAAATGCAAATTTAAGAGATCTATATTGTACAGCATGGTTACTATAGTTAATGATACAGTGTATTCTTGAAAAATGCAAAGAGTGGATGTTAATGTTCTCACCACAATAATGGTAACTGTGAGGTAATGCATTTATTAATTGGTTGAATTTAAACATTGGACAGTCAGTGTATATATGTCAGAACATCATGTTGTACATGGTAATGTACACTATTGTACTTTCCATGCCTGGCCCTGGAGCCCTGAGAGGGTTGGGGTGCACATGAATGGCTCAGCCATTTTTTAAAAAGTTAAAAAAAATTAGTGTTAACAGATCCTGTAAGGTAACAGAATTTCAACTTAGATCAGTATTAGGTTAGTAAAAGATTAGTAAGGATAGGGTTTATTATGTAGCTATTAATAGCTGATGATTTTCTTTTTGTCTCATGCTAAAATAGAATGTCCCTGAGTAGGTGACATATATCTTGGAAGTACAGATGGTCCCCAACTTAGGATGGTTTGATGTAAAATTTTTGTTGTATAAGCCATACACATTCAGTAGAAACACCTCCAGTAGACACTGTACGTTGTATTTGGAACTTCGATCTTTCCCATGCTAGTGATACATGGTATAATGCTCTCTTGTGATGTTGGGCAATGACGGTGAGCCATCACTCTCAGTCAGTATACTGTGTTGCCAAATGGTTTTGCCTAACTCTAGGCTGATCTAACTGATCTGAGCATGCTTAAGGTAGGCTAGGTAAGCTGTGATGCACAGGTTAGGTGCATGAAATGTTTGTTTGAGACAAGGTCTTGCTCTGTCACCTACACTGGAGGACAGTGGAACAATCACGGCTTGTTGCAGCATTGACTTTTCTGGGCTTATGCAATCTTCTCACCTCAACCTCCAGAGTAGCTGGAACTACAGGCAGTGCCACCATGCCTGGCTAATTTTTAAAATTTTATTTTTAGTAGAGAGAAGGTCTTGCTATGTTAGGCTGATAAATTTATCTTTGATTTATGATATTTTCAACTTACAATGGGTTGATTGGGACTTTATTGTATGTCAGGGAACATCTGTGTAGAACAATTTTAGGATTAGTGAAATTTAAAAATTTTATTATGTTCTTCAGAATACTCCCAGAATTGGCTGTAACTTCGGTTTTTTTTTTTTTTTTTTTTCCCCTTGGAATCTTTTCATGAAGCAATTTCTATAAAACTTCTCATTTCAAGGTTTAAAAACTTTTTCCTGGACTTAATCTTGACTGCAGTACAGGAAATAATTTAATAAATTAACTCATTAAAAAATTTATTGATTTCAGATTATAGTGTTCACATTTTAAAATTTATTACCTTAAAGTTGAGGTTGACAAACCTTTTCTGTAAAGGGTTAGGTAGTAAATATTTTAGACTTTGTGGGCTGTATGGATTCTGTCATATTTTGTTTTTTTACAACCCTTTAAAAAATGTAAAACCATTCTTACCCCATAATTGTATAAAAACAGGCTGGCTGTTTTTGGCCCTAGGGCCATAACTTGTCAACCCTTGCGCCAAAGGATAGGAGTCACCTGGTGTGCTGTCACACGCCTGTAATCTCAGCACTTTGGGAGACCGAGGCGGGCAGATTACCTGATGTCAGGAGCTCGAGACCAGGTTGGCCAACATGGTGAAACCCTATCTCTACTAA